ATTGCTTCTACCTTTTGGCTGTTATGAGTAGTGCTACTATGAATATGGGTGTGCACATATCTCTTCAAGACTCTGCTGTTGGATATTTTTGATGAAAAGTGAGATGAAATAACCAGTTTATTTTGGATTATGGAAAATTTACTTAGTGGAAGCTGAAGTGATGGAAACATTTTGGCAGAAATTTTGAAGATACTTTGGAACATTTTAAAGAGCTTTAACCTTTGAGACATTCTTTCTAATATTAACTTCACTTAAAATATAGATTTACTTTTTCTTGCTTTAGATTTAAGACCAGTATAGCTTTGAATTTACAAGTATTATGAGCCATTTCCTGGCTCATAAATGGATTGAAGTGCGGAGGATAAGACAATTTTCTGGGTAAACTGGGCAAGAGGGATGTGTAAGAAGATGAGAAGATGATGGTAGCTGTCCAGCACGTAACTGTCTCCTGCCCCCAAGTGAATCTGCTTGGGTGTTCACTACCACACCAAGCGTTGGTATTGGCAGGGTCATGTTATAATACCTCAACATTTCTTTTGTGGTTTCCTCAATGTCACCACTTTCTAGATCTTGAAATTCAAAAAAACCGCATCATTTTACTTAAGCCTTATGTTAACTTCCGGGGGAATTTTTTTAGTTTGATTTGACATTTTCAAATAACGACTATAAAATATTATCTTTGGTGTAAGTTTTACCATTCAGTCTTTAGTACAAGCAGTGCATTCTCTTTTGTCAAATAATACTTGAATAATCCCATCAGTGTTTTTCTGACATGGCCCAATGTCCATTCTTTTTTACCCTAATATCTGCCATTCCAAAGGTTTTTAAATATCTCGTATGTTTACAGGATAGTTGTCAGACTGATAAAACTATATAGACATATATATTTCTAAATATATATGTGTTTAGAAATAAATTAGCTCACCATGCCTGGAAGTTTTCCATTCATGCTGTGTCACTATGGTGAGTCCTGTATAGTAACTTGTGGCTTACTCTTATGTCACCTTCTGCAAGTTTTTGAATAAGATTGAACACTAGTAATTTAAATTTAATAGTCATTAAAATTTCTGTTAGAAAAACAAAATTCAACTGAGTAAAAGTTAAAGATCTAATTGGCTTTATTCAAAGGTTCATGAATTGGGCAGCACTCCATCAGATAGAAAGAAGCTCTGAGGAGCTGTACGCAATGAAAGGCTTTTATAGGCAGAAGGGAGCAGGAACAAGGAAGTTGTACTAGCAGAAAATGGATTGGTTGTAGCAAGATCATTTTCCTTTAGTGGATGGCAGAGGCTTACTGGGTAGATTACTGCACTAGTACTGACCAGGTGCTTCCTGATTGACTGGTTTAAGTTTCCATTTCTGAGGGAGGCCGAAACTATAATGAAGTCTTGGTTTGGTGATGTGGGGCTTAACGTAAGCAACTCCATTTGGGGCCTGTTGTCTTGTTTTTGACAGGGAGAATATGGTTGTCCTTGAAAATGATAGCCTCAGAGGGTTATACCAATTATGAACTAATAACAGAGTCTTGACTGTAAGAGTTCATTTTTTGTGAAAGGATTCAGGACGTAGAATTTTGCTGGTTTTGTCTCAGTGACACAAAGATGGACATCTTTGTATTCTTTCAGCTGAGGTTGCAGTTTCCTGGGTCTTTCTTTTATCTCTCTCTGCATGGCTAACTATTATGTCTGTGTCCCAGGCAGAAGATAGGAGAGGAAAAAAAAAAAAGAGCAAAAAGTCCGACTCAGCAATATATATATATCTCCACTCCTATCTGCAAAGGTGTCTAGGAAATGTAATTTTTCAGCCACTTCCATTGCCCACAACTCTGTTAGTAAGGAAGAAGAAAATGGGTATTGGGGAAGGTAGGCAACTAGCAGTCTCTACTGCAGGCATCAGTACTTCTCCCAGTACACACACACACACACACACACACACACAAACCAAAGCATTCTTCTCTCCTCAGTTGCACATGTGGATTTATTATCTATGAATTGATCTAAAGCTTTCCCAAATCTATTTATATTTTCAGGTTATACTGTCTCTCACGAGTTCTTAGTGCTATTGTAAGTCCCTCAGTTTTAGTTCTCTGGAAGCAGCGTTGTGCAGTAGAAAGAGCACTGGACTTGGAATCAGGGAACCTGACTTGTAGGTCCAGTTCATCACTGGGGTGTTGACCTTTGATATCTGAACTTCCATTTCTTCCTTTGGATAATGATAATAAAATACCTTCTCTGCCTGTGTTTTACAGGCTTCTTAGAGGACCACATGAGCACTTTTATTTTAATGTATATACAAATATGTGACACGTAGTAAATAAAGCATTATACAAGTAAATATATGGTACTGTTACGATGATGATTTTTGAAACCAAACTCATCTTCCCAGCAGATCAAGCTCTTGCTTCTAACTTTTCCCTTAGGGTAATCCACAAAGTCTGGAAACCTCAGTGTTTCTTACAGCTGCATCTGCCTCCCACCCCTCATCTCTTTGATCATAATAGTCTTTGATATTTTTCTCTTAGTATTTCCCCATCTCTACAATCCCTGCCTTCCTCATTGCCACCCCTTGTTGTGCCCAGCCTTATTATCACACTTCTCACTTGGCTATTGCAATAGCTCTCTGGGTCAGTTCCAGTCCCTACATCTCCACACATTCCTATGTAGCCCTTATTTTAATTGTTAATGGGTACAATGTACTGTGGAAAAAATATTGAGTAAATATTTTTTCTACTTTCAGACTTTAGGTTGTTTATATTTTGAGTTTTACATTGTGGTCATAGATAATTTATATGTATGTCTATACACTTATATATGAATATGCATATAGCTTATGATTAATTCTTTTGTTAAAAGCAAATTCCTGTAACATAAGTTAATCAGGTTAATGGGTGGTTCTTTGAGATTTCTGCTTCATTCTCCTAGTTGTTTCCCAAAGGATAGTTGTCATTTATATGCCACAAACAACAAAGTATTATCAGAAATGTATTATAGCTTTTCATAGTCTAGCAAAACTTTAAAAATATGTAATAAAAAATGCAACTTGTCCATTTTCACACACATGGAATCCAGGCACTCCCCAGTCCAGGAAGAGTTGGTGTACTGCAGTCTCCATAACCTTGCATTTACATTTACAGGCTGGTATGGGTTCAGGCCTTCAATGTGAATTTATCATACATGTCAAAAGTGAAAAACACAAAAAACAAAAACACAACCCAAGGAAAGATTCCTGGTCACATCCTGTTTTTCTTAACCAGGCTCTTTAGTACTTCATGGTCAGTTAAAGATAGACTTGGGGCTTCCTTTATATCCAGACCTTAGTGCCTTCTTCCTGCCCGTTCCCTCTAAGCATCCACACTGATCTCCTCTCTTGGAAGCCCTGACTATATAGAAGGTGACAGACGGGTCTCAAATGTCAACTGCAGAGGGCTGAGAGCCTGCTTACGTTTACCAAGGGTTGGGAAAGAATTCCGAGTTTTTACCCTTGTCTGAGAAAAGAAGCCAAATTGACTTAAAAATAAGCTTTACGTTTTCTTTCAAAACAAGCCTTACATTCAGACAAGTACAAATGACTCGATGAGTCTTTTCCTTTCCTTCTTCCTTTTATCAGAAAGATTAGACGAAAGTTGGATGATGGGAGAATTTGGGTTATTTATGAGCTCTTCTTAATTTTTTGAATTAAGTATAATTACAAATAAAGTAACTGAAATAGGGTTTAACTGATTGTTCTAGAGAATCATAAAATAGAGGGTGCCAAAAAAATGTATACACATTTTAAGAAAGGAAAACTGTATTAAAATTGTAATTGTATATACCGATACCAAAAGATGAATACAAGTCACGTTTGACTTCTGCAATTACGAGAGGTGCTCAAAGTGGTTACCATCAGCATCCAGACACTTCTGATGATGGCAAACTACTGCTTGAGCAACATTGACCAAAGTGTCCACTTTTACACATTTTTTGGGCACTTTTGGTATATGTTTTGGGGGTCACAGTATGAAGCACTCTTTAACTTTTCTCCAAAACTTTCATCTTAAGATATCTTTAAAGAGAAACTTACTTGTTCTTTTGTTTAACAAATACAAATCTTTACTATCCTGTCCAGAATCAACAGAATCAGTAGTATTGTTGCTGACTCAAGCAACTCTAACTGTTCTACATAGTTTCCATCAGCATTTCTGATATACTTCTCTATTTGGGAAATAATGTTTTCTAAAAAATTGCTTCTTTCTAAAGTTAAATAAATAATTGGAAAGCCTTTTTTGTTTTTTTTTAAAGGTTTTATTGGGGAATTGGGGGAGGGGAACAGCGTTGGGGAATCGGGGAGGGGGAACAGACAAGTTGCTGTCCTTTTGTTCTTCAGTCTAGTTGTGGAGGACGTCGCTTCACTGGCCCATATTGGTATTATCATTGCGCTCTTCCCGGGTGAGGCAGATCGGTCGCCAGCCACTGGACAGCCGCTCATGGCGGCTCCTGGCAGCTAACGCAGCTGCTGGCCGCTCACGCTGGCTGCCGGCTACACACAGTAGCTTATGGCAGCCCACTGCAGCAGGGGCTGCAGCCTATGCTGTCGCTGGCAACTCTCGGCAGCCCAGCTCCAGGTCAAGCTGTTGTTCACTATCTTAGCTGTAGAGGGCACAGTGTCACTGGCCCTCATGTGGGATCCGAACCGGGGTCCTGCTGCTTAGAACTGACGTCACAAGCCAACTCTTAATCAACACGCCACTCGGCTGGCCCCTGGAAAGTCTTCTTTAAAAACATTTGTACATTGAGAATTGTAAATATTTTCCAACATTCAAAATTAAATATGAGAAAAATCATTCAAGAATTACAGCTTTTTGAGGCCAAATATTTATATAAACAGTAATAAGTGAATCATAAAATGCAGTGTAATTACAAAGAAAGATTTGCCATAATAGAAACAATATTGCTATCTTTTTAGTATTATATGAAATAACTTTATAGTTGTCTATCTATTGCTCTATTTATTTCTCTGTGTAGGTGGGCACGTCAAACCTTTTACGCCAGAGAAAGCCAAAGAAATTGTCATGTCCTTACAGCAACCTGCAATCTTCTGTAACATGGTTTTTGATTGGCCAGCACAACACTGGACTGCTAAACACCTTTCTGAGGTCCTTCATGGAAAGCAGATACGATTCAGAATGGGAATGAAAAGCATAGATACAGGTAGGACCACCAGTAATCATCATAATAATGTCTCTTCAATAGCATGTCCACATTCCCAGCAGTGGTGTCTTTTATCTCTAGAGAAATCTTTAATTCTCTTCTTGACTATTTGCAGATAGGGAATATTTTACTGGAAGTTTTAGAAGGACAGTTTGTATTAACATTTTTTTTTTTAGAATAAACAACCTGTATTTTATAACCTCATATAAAATGTATTTGTTCACATACTATGATTCATTGAATGTGGTAGACACTTAATAAATATTTGTTAATGTGCTTATTTCTGTACCCATGCGATTGAAAAAGACCAATACTAACCTAATAGTCACTCCCACTTTGGCTCATGTAGACTGTGTCCTTTGATTTGTGGCTTTAGGCACTATTTATAGTGCTCAGTCTTGGTTGTAATTTTATCTCTGCTTTATCAACTGCCTGACCTCTATTGCACTGCATAACTGTGAAGCATAGGTAAAGCTGTTTTTCCATTCCCTTAAGCAATTAGATTTTGCCAGCTCCCGCTTCTTCCCTGAAGACTTGTAACGTTTTGATTTTTTGCTTTACAGTCAGATAAAGCAATTACTGTTAACTCTAAAAATAGTTAATTTAAAGAAAAGAAATAGTGCTGTTTCTAATCTAAAGGAGCCCATAACCATTGTCTGGCTTCAAAATGTGTGTTTAACTTCTCTTTAAATATGGGTACGTTTGGTAGTCTAGCAACTCAGTGTTTTCAGTATTGCTGTGAAGTGGCTCTAGGAATATCTATTAATAATTCAGAAGGGGCTAGAAAATTACCCAGCTTCTCCAAGCTGCTTTCTTTCATGTTGACCTTCTAGTAGATCTCATAGAATTTTTTGGCTTTCAATGTCTAGAACCCCCTTGTATACCAGTGTCAGGTAAATCAGGACTAATATACCTGAAACTCTGGCATCTCATTCTAATCACAGACCAAAATGGTTATTGTATTTTAAAATTCAATGCGAGACCAGCAGCAACCACATAAAAACCAGCTTGTGCTTTTTCCTTCTTGATTGTAGTCAAATAAATCTTCCACTCATTGAAGTGTCTGTTAGACAATAATTTGGGGAGAATAGGAATTGTCATTTTTTTCATATTCTGGTTAGACTCCAAATACACCAATAACATTACTAATAGCTAAGTTATTGAGAGCTATTGTGCCAGGCACTGTTCTGAGTCCTTTATACATAGTAACTCCCTTAATCTTCTAAAAACCCTCTTAGAATGGTACTATTATTGTCTTGTTTTATAGACGAGGCACAGTAATTTGAAATTTTCAAGTTCATACCTAAGCATAAAAGAAAAAGAAAGTAGAAAGTCTGCAGTTGTGAACAACTCCCCTGAATTTTTAACAACTAAGATAATTTGCTCTTTTTAAAAAATTTAGATGAAATTCACATAATGTAAAATTCACCATTTTAAGTTTACAGTCAGTGGTTTTAGCATATTCACAATGTTGTGCAACCATCTACTCTAATCCTAATTCCAGAACATTTTCATCATCCTATCACGTCCCGCGTGACAAGAGCTGGGGTTTCGAGGAGGGGCAGCGACGGGTTAAGAAATCACAAGAGTCAAAAACAGAGTTTCTGCGGGCCAGGGGTCTCCTCACTGCTGACTGAGAGCAAGTCTTGATACTGGCGGGTGAATAACTTTTATTTACAACTGCCACAAAGAAGTCAATTTGAATATCTATACCCAGTTAATTGATAAGACCGGCAGCTGCTTCACCAAAACTCATTGTGATCAAGCACAGCTTCACCAAAACTCATTGTGATCAAGCACGCGTTGTGCTTTCACACATACGTGTGATGCCCGGGATGGCCTCAGCATTCCGAGACCACCGGATAAGGAAGTTTTACCGAGATCATTCCCTTGGGTTTCAACATTCCAAGACACTCCCTTATAACTTCAAAGGATCAGTGCGCAGGAGCGTTAGAGTGTGCAGCTGCAAGGCGACATCATCCCATAAGGAAGCCCAGTACCCCTTAAGTAGTCACTCTAGTCCGCCTTACCCCCCAGCACCTGGCAACCACTAATCTGTTTTCTGTTTTTATTAATTTGCCCATTCTGAACATAGCATATAAATGGAATTGTACTGTCGACTGGCCAAAATAATTCTCCAGGTAAATCCACTAAAATAAACGGTTTATTCGGGAAAAAGAAAAAGAAACAAAGCCACCAGGGAACGTACTCGCAGGTCGGTTCCTCCACCGGCCACCCAACATGGCTTCCTCTTTTATTCGCATCCCTTCCCTGGAAGTCACCACCAAGTTCACCAGGAAGTCAAGACTAGAGTCCACAAGAGGCCCAGCTCCACCCACAGTCCTCCCAGCTCCACAGTTAAGCCTCCCAAGATGCCAGTTCACTTTTATCATTCCCGCCACTTGATCAAGATCTTTCCTGTAAAAGATCATTGATCAGTACAATATGTGGCTTTTTATGTCTAGCTTTTTTCACATAGCATGATTTCAAGATTCATCCATGCTGTGGCATGTTTCTGTACTTCATTTATTTTTATTGCTGAATAATATTGCATTGTATGTAAATATCACATTTTGTTTATTCATTTACCAGTTGACGGACATTTGGGTGTTTCCACTTTTTGGCTATTATGAATAATGCTGCTATGAACATTTATGTTCTTTTTTTTTATGGAAATACGTTTTCATTTCTCTTGGGTTTATACCTAGAAGTGGAATTGCTGAGTCATACAGTAACTCAAAGCCCTCTGAGGAACTGCCAAAGTGCTTTCCAAAGCAGCTGAACCGTTTTACACTCCCACGCCAGTGCATGAGGGTTCCAATTTCTCTATCCTTACCAACATGCATTCCTTTTTTATTCTAGCCATCCTAGTGTGGGTGTAAAATGTTATCTCACTGTGGTTTTGTTATATATTTCCCTGATGATTAATGATAATGAGCATCTTTTCATATGCTTATTGACCATTTAGATATCTTCTTTGAAGAAATGCCTATTCAAATCCTTTGCCCATTTTCTATTTGAGATGTTTTTGCTTTGTGGGGTGTTTTGTTTGTTTGTTTTATTGTTGAGTTGTAAAAATTTCTTTATGTATTCTGGATACTAGCCCCTTATCAGATAGATGACTTGCAAATATTTTTCCCATTCTGTGGGTTGTCTTAATTTGTTCTATTTAAAGTTATTATTTGAGTATAAATGCAATGCTTCCACTAACTGTGTAGGATAGTGGTGGTATAAGAGAGCTGACTCTGGTTCAAATTTTGGCTTATGATGTGACTTTGGGCAAGTCACTTAACTTTTCTGTATCTTAGAAATGTTTTCAAGATTAAATGCGTTTATATGCATGAAACATTTAGAACAGTGCCTAGCACATAGTAACTGCTCAACTAATGTTATTTAAAATTAGAAATAATTTAAAAAGTATGACTTCCTCATTGTGGAGAACATTGGAAAAATGGGAAGATCCAAAGAAATTTTAAACACTTGTTCCTATTACCAAGAGATAAAAACACTTGGTCCTATTACCAAAGTGTATATCTGTCCATGCAGTTCTCTTTGTATTTTAAAAATAAAGTTGTATTAAGTTTTACAGCCTGCTATTTTTTTTTTAAGATTTTTTATTGGGGAGTTGGGGGGATGGGAACAGTGCTGGGGAATTGGGAGAAGGGGAACAGACAAGTTGCTGTCATTTTGTTCTTCAGTCTAGTGGAGGATGTTGCTGCACTGGCCCAAGTTGGCACCATCATTGCACTCTTCCTAGGCGAGGCAGATCAGTCGCCGGCTTCTGGACGGCCGCTCACTGCGGCTGCTGGCCGCTCACGCTGGCTGCTGGCTACATATGGTAGCCCATGGCAACCCACTGCAGCAGGGGCTGCAGCCTACGCTGTCGCTGGCGACTTATGGCAGCCCAGCTCCAGGTTGAGCTGTTGTTCAGCATCTTAGCTGTGGAGGGCAGTGTCACTGGCCCTCATATGTGGGATCCGAACCGGGGCCCTCTGGCGTCCCAAGCCAGTTCTTTCCCATTTGCACCACTTGGCCGGCCCCTGCTTTTTTTTTTTAACCTAACTTATTCTGAGCAGCTTCTCTTGATATTAAATATGACTTTTAAATGGCTACCTAATATTCCATCGGATGATATTAATTTATTTTAAGAATCCTCCTATTTTGATTATTTAGTTGCTTAGAAGTTTTAAATGTATAAATAAGACTGTAGTGAACATCTTTGGAAATAAAACTTATTCACCTTTCTATTTCTCTAGGATAGATTCTTAGAAGGAGAATGACTGGGTCAAAGGGTATGCCCATTATCATCAGTAGCAGCAATATCCATGAAGCTTCTTACACAAGAAATTTGTGAGTCACTCTGAATGCCTCTCCTAAGTGGTGGCTGGTGACTCAAAGATTTACACCCTAAATATCTAGTATCCACATGCTTCTCTCTTTCTCCATGGCCATCCTCTAGTTGGGGTTACCCTGCTCTCTCACCTTCATAGTTGCAGTAACCTCATTCTGAGTCCTTCTGCACCCTCTGCATTCCCCTCCTAGGCCATTCTTCACGCTGAAACCAGAGAAAGTTTTTTGTTTTTTTTTAAAGATTTTTTTTTATTGGGGAATTGGGGGATGGGAATAGCGCTGGGGAATTGGGGGAAGGGGAACAGACGAGTTGCTGTCGTTTTGTTCTTCAGTCTAGTGGAGGATGTTGCTTCACTGGCCCAAGTTGGCACCGTCATTGCACTCTTCCCAGGCGAGGCAGATCAGTCGCCGGCAAATTGGGGGATGGGAACAGCGCTGGGGAATTGGGGAAGGGGAACAGACAAGTTGCTGTTGTTTTGTTCTTCAGTCTAGTGGAGGACGTTGCTTCACTGGCCCAAGTTGGCACCGTCATTGCACTCTTCCCAGGCGAGGCAGATCAGTCGCCGGCTTCTGGACGGCCGTTCACTACAGCTGCTGGCCGCTCACGCTGGCTGCTGGCTACATATGGTAGCCCATGGCAACCCACTGCA